GGGAATGTAAAACAGGACAGCCACTAGGGAAAACAGTGTAGCGATGTCTCAAAAATTAAAACTAGAAATACTGTATAATCTATCAGTTCCACTCCTGAGAATATGCACACAGTGGCATATAATTCAACTTTTAAAAAGGAAAAGAAATTCTGACTTATGTTTCAACGTGGGTGAATCTTAAGGACATCATGCCAAGTGAAATACAGGAGTCACAAAAAAAAATATGATATGATTCCATTTAGACGAGGCCCTTAGGGTGGTCAATTTATAGAGACACAAAGCAGAACAGTGACTTGGAGGGACAGGACCAGGGAGGAATGGGGAGTTATTATTGAACAGGTACAGACTTTCGGTTTTGCAAGAGGAAAAGAATTCTGTGGTGGTGATGGTTGAATGCATTTGATGCCACTGAACTGTACTTAAAAATGGTTAAGATGGAAAATTTTGTGATCCACATTTCACCAGAATTGAAATGTGTTTAAATAATACAAAACCAATTGCATTACTATCATTTTTCTACAGCTGACAAAATTGTAAAATAACCTAGTCAAAGACAGCACTCTGACAGAATCTGATGACGCCCGAAGTCCCCTAGACAATGCCCTGCAGTGCTTTGAAAGGACACTCATCTGCCCATTTCAAAGCCTTTCCCAACGTTTACTCCAGTGTATTTCTCTTCTTGTGCATGTAGGAAAGTTCTTTATACCTTGGAGGGGAACTGCCAGGTTGCAGATGTGTATGCCTTTGATATTCTGGATGCTGTCAAATTGTTTGCTGAAGTGAGAACTCTGCTACTTTACACTCGAAACAGCAGCAGAAGCAGAAACCCAAATGGCCCAGTAAACTTATAAAAAGGTGTTCAGCCTTGCTCGTAATCAGAACAGTGCAAATTGGAATGACTTTAAGAGCATTTCACCCTTAACAGTTTTGCAGAAATTCAAAAATCTGCCATTATCAAGAGTTGGCAGGATATTAAATTAGAGTCAGGAGTACCTCACTGAAGAATTCTAAAGCATTCGGCTTGGAAGAAAATACAGCAAATCCTACCACAGAGCCCTACTGCCAATCCTCCCTTGAGGAAGTAATGCCAGTCTCTTATGCAAGATTTAAGGAAGGAAAAGTGCGTTGCATGTTAGGGAGGAAAGAAGATTTCAAAACCTCTACCTTTTAAAACAGTTCACTTTAAAGTCTGACTTTCAGGTCTTTTTATGGTTGATAATAAAATATGTATGACACAATGTTTTAAGAACTATGTTAGAAATCAACATCTACCTAGATGCTGTTTACCAAAGGCACTCTTCAAATCATGCAGGACAAAAATAAAACAGTGGGGGGGGAAGTGGTAATGACAACAGATAAAGTGGGATTTAAGACAAAGATGAATTGAGACAAAGATTTTTTTTTTTTTAATAAACAAGGGGAAGGCTTAACGAAGGCACAATGTTCTCATATATTAAAGGGATGAATAATTTTATATCAATATATAAGAACAAAACCTATTTAAATTCGGTGGAGATACTAATGGGAACACAATGGAAATGGTAGGCTTTCCCTCGTTTTTCTTGAGATTTCACAGCTAGAGTAGTCAAAACTGCACTGAGTAGGCATACGGAGAAATTCGTATGTGACTGAGGGAACATCATTTCAGATGTGCATGAAAATTTTACAGAAATTGGCCATCTTCTAAGCAATAATGGAAGCTATTTTCAAAAAAAAATAAAATAAAATTTCTAAAATTTACATTTTCTGACCACAATAACCAAAGGAGACATTAAATGAAAAACATTCTTCCAAATAAACTTGGAACAAAAAGAAAAGAAAAAGAAAACCAACTTTTCAGTTGTAGAATATTTTTTAAATATTGATATGATGCAGCTAAATTTTTCCTCCTGTGAAAAATCATGGCCTGAGAGCAGGGCTTCTTGCCTCAGTGCTGTTGACATTTGGGGGTACAGAGTTCTGTGTTCAGGGGCAGGTTAGAGAGGAGCAGCATCCGTGGCCACCACCACCAGATGCCAGGAGCAGCCTCAGTTGTGAGAACCAAAAGTGTCTGCAGACATTGTCCAGCCTCCCCTGTGTGGTACCCTGGTTCCTGTTTGAAACCCTGCCCCAGATGCCTCTGTACCACAAAATCAACGAGCAAAGAAATAAACTGCTTCATTTGAAAAAGCTAGATAAAAAACAAACAGCAAAGGACACCTGAGATCCAAACAGAGTCCAACTGATAATGATTAAGAAGTTGCCAAATTGATTTTTTTAAATATTAAGAACTGGTTCTTTTGATTGACAGTTAAGATATACAAACTTTTGAGAAAGAAAAATTGAAAAAGCAGTGTACCTTGACAGTAGTATACTTTAGAATTATAATTGTAATATTGTAATATTGAGGGATCTAACTACAAAACCATAAAGTGGACTAAAAATATAATAGTCTAGTGTTAAAATCTGAATGAAATGGATAATTATATATTAGAGAGATATGTGTGTGTGTGTGTCCACACACACACACACACACACACACACACACACACATGACCAAAACTGACTCAAAAAAAAATGGAAACTACAATAGACCTATTATCCATGGAAAATATTGCAAAAACACACAAACAAAAACACTGGGCCTCCCATGGCTTTTAATATTGTTAATATTTAAAAAATTTTTTTAGTTGTGGTTGGACACAATCCCTTTATTTTATTTGTATTTGGTGCTAAAGATTGCACCCAGCACCCAACACATGCTAGGCRAGTACTCTACTGCTGAGCCACAACCCAGCCCCCCTCAGATGGTTTTATATCTAAACAACACTTAACGTTTCTCTACGGCAAATATAATATCTATGCTATATATTTTCCCAAGATATAAAGAAAAAGGGAAATATTGTCTCAGCTGTCTTTTTAAAGCTGACCAAAATACAAACACCAACATATGATACAGATAATCCTAACAAATAAAAACTAAGAGATATGTAAAAGACATTCTCTCAGAAATAAAGACATTCCAGATTCACAGAATATATAGGCAAGGGCAGCAATAGCAATATCAGACTCCACTGAATTCAAGGAAAAAGTGAGACCAAAAATTAGATACATTATAATCATAAAGAAATTTGATGCATAAGGAAGATGCAATTAGCCGTCTTCTTACAATAAGACCCAACTTCTACCAAAACAAAACTTTAAATATTAAAGGGAGATTTTTTTTAAAGAGAGAGAGAGAGAGAATTTTAATATTTATTTTTTAGTTTTCGGCAGACACAACATCTTTGTCTGTGGTGCTGAGGATCGAACCCGGGCTGCACACATGCCAGGCGAGTGCGCTACCGCTTGAGCCACATCCCCAGCCCCTAAAGGGAGATTCTGATGGATGCAGAAAACTCAGGGGCAAACTAGGCAAGCCTGTGTCAGATTAGAGCCAAAAAGTAAGAAAGGAGTCTAAATAATAATCACTGCTGACCAAATGGGCAATGTTATTCTGCTATGTTCATCTGCCAACATAGCCCACGCTCAGCTTACAAGAACTATGGGACATGTGTGAAATTTCACTGTATTTGGATCCCAAGTAAAACCTTAACCAATTCTTTTTTTTTTAAACTTTAATATTTATTTTTCAGTATTTGACGGACACAGCATCTTTGTCTGTATGTGGTGCTGAGGATCGAACCCGGGCCGCACGCATGCCAGGCGAGCGCACTACCACTTGAGCCACATCCCCAGCCCCTTAACCAATTCTTAAAAGGGCAAATAATTCACTTAATTAGTAGCAAAATGAAATAAACCACTTAGACATCTCAGAACTCTTCTTCAACAACTGTTGAGTCAAAGAAAAAAATCATAAAATAAATACCTGTACATAAAATAAAGAACAACAACACAATCCTTACATGATGAAGTCTGTGAGAGATGTTAAAACCATGCTCCAAGGAAAATTCACAGCATTAAACATATTACTAAAAATAAAGAATGGGAAGAGATGATTTTAAATTAACAGACTGTTAAAAAGCAGATGGGGGGGATTAATAAAGATAAAATGGATATTAAGATTCATCAGAAGACAGAGAATCAGAGGGATGAATTTGAGATCTGGTTATTTTGAGGCGGGGAACGATATACCTGAACCTGAAAGCCTGTTTAGTTTGCCTAATACAGAAAATGCAGATATTTAACATTAGAAACTAGAAAGAGGAAACAATCGCAGATGCAGAGGAAATAAACCTAATTATGAGTGTGCGAACGGCCAGCTTCACGGAAGCTCAGGTGTCTATACGATGCATGGGGGGAGAGGACCCACCGATCTGTGTTTAGTATTGAGAAATTCTCATATGTACCCTCAGTGGCTTCTTGAATTCTGAAAACAACCAGTTGGAAAATATCACTAGAAATGAAGCTAATAGGAAAATTAGCTAGAGGAAGAAAAGTGCTAAACATTACCATGAGATTTATTAATTCAAAGAATTGAACAAATGCTTCTGTAACCCAGGGCTTATGACATGCCAGACATATTTGATCCTCAACCACCTGAGAAGATAGGTTTGATTTTATCTACATTGTACGGTTGAAAACAACTGAGGCACAGAGAGGTTAAGTTAGTCGGTCAAAGTCACTTAACTGCTGGTCAGGGCTAGGGCCAGGCTGAGACAATGGCATCCAACATTTGCACTCCTTGCTATTATGTTGCACAGTGAATTGATGCAGAGATGCATTCCAGGAGGGAAGATCCATACCGTAAAATGATCATTCACAGCTGGGCGGAACTCTCTGGCAAGGGCTCAAGTGCTGTCTGTCCAGGGTGAATGTCAACAAAATGGCCAGCTGCCAGGGAGCCCTCGTTCCCCCACACGTGCTCCAAATCATGCAGAGGTCCAAGCAGAACGGAACTCCCCCTCCGCACAGAGCCGGGACCCCCACCATCTCATCTGAATGCCCTCCGAGTCCTGCAGGGCAGATGTGAGGGTGTCGCAGGCCAGGTCCTTCTAACACAGATGCCCTGTCCTTCTTAGATCCAGGAGATGGTGCACTCGGAGGTCGCTGCCTATGACTCCAGCCGGCCAGGACCTCTGCTGGGTCGCCCCGCGATGCTGGCCAGCCACATGAGCGCCCTCAGCCAGTCCCAGCTCATCTCCCAGATGGGCATCCGGAGCAGCATCACCCACAGCTCCCCGTCACCCCCAGGGAGCAAGTCGGCGACCCCCTCTCCCTCCAGCTCCACGCAGGAGGAGGAGTCTGAAGCACATTTCAAGGTAGGCGGGGTGGACAGCAATGCTGTCAGATGCCCTCCCATCTGTGGGGACGGGCCCTGTGGGGACTTCACTCTGGAAAAGACAGGAAGGGGGGCCGTGCCCTTTGCTGGAAACCAAGGAGGAAGAGATCAGCAGATGGGTCAGGTGGACAGGAGCAGTTAGTCTTTGGGGAGCACCCAGGGGACCTAGGGACACCAGGCTTCAGGTGCTAGATCTCCCAGGCACTGTTGGCAAGCTCAGCCTCAATCCCAACCCTCACTCACGCAGCAGAGACCCCTCTAACCGTGTTGAAGGATGGCGGGAGGAGATGTCGCGGAAACAGGGCCAAGTCTCATTCCTGATGGCCAGCGCGTCTTTTCCGTGGCATCGATGACATCAGCAAGAGCCTCAGGGCCTGGTCTCATGCCACTTTGGCCTTTGAGGGAACTTTTTGTTAAATATTGCTCACAAAAACCTTTAGATATTTGGAGAGATATTAATCGTATATTTTTATGGGGTGCACAGTCGTGTGGATATGTGACATGGAATGATTGAATCAAGCTAATTAACATAGCCCTCATTTATTCTGACAAAAATGTGTCGTCCAACAGAGGTCCTCTGGGCCTAGGGCATTCCACACTGACTGAGGATGGGGCACAAAATCGGTGGTCCCATGGTGGGGATGCACCCTCTCCCAGCACCCCTCAAGTCCACAGGTGGTAGGCCTCTTCAAAATATCACCAATGAGAGCCGCCACCTGCCCACGCCCTGGTCCTTTGCAGGGACCCCAAGCCTCCTCCTGGTTAGAGAGCTTCTTTTTTTGCTAGGCACAGAGGCCCAGGAGGGTCAGAGGCAGGAGTTTGTATCCAGAATCTCCCAGAATGAAGAGTTGGCCCGTGACCCTGCCTCCATGGCCCTGTGCCTCTCTTCCTCATAAGGACCTCTCCACATAGTGCTGAAGGACGGAGGCTTGGCGTGGTGGGTGGCTGCAGAGGGGACTCCAGGACAGAAGCTGTGTTCTGTTCCTTCCCTCCCTGACCTTCAGACATGAAGGTCCAAGTCTCATCCTCTGGCCTCCGGTTTTCTTACCTGCTCATGGTGTCACTGTCATCTTCTTGACCCACTGAGTCACAGACTTTGCAGCAGGAGCCAGGACCGTGGACCCAAGGCTCCTGTCCTGGTGTGGCCTGAGGGTCCTAACTGATCCACTTAGGTCTGTGGCGAGCATCTCCACCCCTCCCCACCCTGGAAACCCTAAGTGGGATTGTGATCCTACAGCCTCTCTGGATGGTCCCCAGCTCCAGGCTGGCCTGATGATGTCCCATTAGCTTCATCCCTTCCTACCACCTCCCGGGGGCCAGGGGAGAGCCACCGGCCCAGAGTTGCACAGCAGCTACAGGTGGGGGAGACTGACCTTTTATGATCAAGGGAATCTTTGGAGAGTGTTCGTGATCACACCCGGGAGGGGGCTGCAGAAGGAGAGCAGTTAAGGAAAAAACACATCTGAAACTTGGAGATGGCCCCAAAGACAGCACAGCCTTACAGGGTCAGACCCAAACGTGGTCTAACAGGCCACTCAGGAACCCCTGCTTCTCCAGCAGAATGTGTCTTTGCTTTGACTCCTGTTCCTTGCTGATGAGGGAATTTTGCAAAGAAAGACATTAATTGGGGGAGGGGGAGGGACAGAAAAGCAGGTGCCGTGGGCAATCCCAGCAGCTCGGGAGGCTGAGGCAGGAGGATCGCAAGTTCAAAGCCAGCCTCAGCAACTTAGCGAGGCGCTAAGGAACTTAGCAAGACCCTGTCTTAAAATAAAAAATAAAAAGAACACAAATGATTTCTGATCAACAGAAGAGATTAAAAATCCATCAAAATTAAAAGTCTCCAGGTCACTAGCCAGTTTCCCATGCGATTTAGTCACCTGGATCAGCAGTCAATTTTGCAGGGACCACAGAGGTGTCTAGATTTCTCCAAATCAACTTTCCACTTGTCCTGGTTCTCTTTGATGAGTTAAACCAATACCCAGCCTCCTACCCAGGCTGTGTGTCTCTGTCTGTCTGTCGCTCCCCGGGTGTGAGCCAGGCTGGACTGGCCCACGGTGGGATGCTGAGCAGGGTCCAGCCCCTGGAGCTGGGTGGGGCGGCCGCGGGCAGGAGGTTCAGCTGGTGTGAACCTGACTCCTGTCACCTGGGCAGATCTCAGGAGAGAAGAGACCTTCTGCAGACCCAGGAAAAAAGGCCAAGAACCCAAAGAAAAAGAAGAAGAAGGACCCCAATGAGCCCCAGAAGCCCGTGTCGGCCTATGCACTCTTCTTCAGAGACACTCAGGCTGCCATCAAGGGGCAGAACCCCAGTGCCACCTTCGGAGATGTGTCCAAAATCGTGGCCTCCATGTGGGACAGTTTGGGAGAGGAGCAAAAGCAGGTGAGCCACCATCCCTTTCCGGGCCACACTCAGGGCAGACTTTGAAGGTGTGAGGCCAGAACCAGCCTTTGGGACCAGAGGCTCCTGCAGAAGGCACTTGGGCTCAGCTTGCCCATCTGTAAGCCAGGAAGCATGGTCCCTTCCAGCTCTACTATTTTGCAGTTGTATTCACCAATGATTTAACCATTCTATACTCTACTTCCTGTCCATGAAAGGGTCAGAGTTGACCATCCAACTCAAGTCTGAAGTCCAGGCCAGAGCTTCCTGTACCCCTAGCCATGTACCTATGGCCCCCTCTAAAGGCCTCTGGAGAACAGGGCACAGAGCTAGCTTATAAGCAGAGCAGTTACCAGCTGTGCAACCTCAGAGTGACTACCTAACCTCTCTGAGCTGTAAAACAAGGAAGATGGCTCCCATTCTCTGAGCATGTCTGGGCTGAGCTCTCTACTGGGCCCCTTGCCCATGACCTCACTGCATCCTTGCAACATCCCTTGGAGTGGCCATCGCTTGCCTCTTATGATATGAGGAGATGGAGACACCAGAGGCTGACCTGTCCTGAGTCAGGTTGGAGCCAGGACTCACACCCAGGTCTGTAGAACCAGGAGGCTCCGTTGGGTTGTTGGCCTAAGAGCAATTAATCCAATAATCAGATAAGTAAATGTAAAATGACAATGGTGACTGTGTCACAGGCCAGGAGGGTACCTGAGAACAAAAAGGGAGGGAACAGACTTAGACCTGGGGCAGGGACTACGTTGCCAGGTGAGACCTGGAGGGTGGGCTCCCTTGGCCAGGGGAGCTTTCCAGCAGGGGGAGCCGTACTGACAAAGCCTGGTCCAGCAAGTGCCTGGCCCTGGGAGTCCAGGGTGGCTAAATGCAGAGATGGAGCTGGGAGGTGGGCGGGGCCAGGGAAGGGATCAGGTCCTTGTCTGGCTTCATGAAGGCTGGTAGAGTGGACGTGGCAGGCCCCTGTCAACTAGGTGGGAGATGACAATGGCTGGGACCAGACAGATGGGGCGGTGGATGCAGAGCTTTGTGGGGACTTGTTTTGGGGATTCTGTTCTGCTTTCTGGGTGGGTGGAGACGCCATACGCTGAGACAGGGACATGGGGAGAGGAGCAGCAGCCTGGGCCGGAGAGAGAGACCGTCGATGAATTTATTTGAAATGCTTTCTCTATCAGACTCTAAAATTTAAAACACCTTTGGGCTATAGGCCAGGGCAGTGGCAGAAGTTTATTTGGGAGGTGAAACAGGGAGAGGAAGGCAGTGACAAAGGGCTGTCATCGGGGATCCCGCCGTGGCTCCTGGAGCACAGTCCTGCCCCAGAACTCTGGCCAGTGTAGAACCTGCAGGGTGAACTGGCTAACGGCAAGGCTGCGGGGCGCCAGCCTGTCAATCACTGGGTGGGAGCAGCTCCAGGGGACAGGACTCTCCAGCTCTCTAGCCACCACCTCCACACAAGTGGCCGATGAGGCTCCTGCTGCTCGAGAGCCCTGGGGCCAGGGGATGCTTGGTGGCGCTGGGCGTTAACTGGGCTTTTCTGCAATGCCGAGGACCAGAGGCATGGCAGGCCCTGCCCACTTCTGCCATAGGGACCATAGTTTCCATTTGGCACACTCTGGCCTGCGTCTCCCTTCCTATGGTGCCACTTTGTGAGGGGGAGTGGGCCCTCTCCCTTTTGAGCCGTCTTAGGGGGATAGGGATCTCAGGTCCCCTGTCTCTGAAGGCTCCGCCCACTACTCCGACCCATCCAGTGCAGCCCAGGGGCAAGTGAAGGTTGTTGAGAGTCTGACCTCCCACCCTGTCCTGTTTATTTGTATTTATTTGTTTATTTGTTTCAGTGATGGGGATTGACTCCAGGTCCTTGCACATGCTAGGCCAGTGCTCTATCAGCTGAGCATTACCACTGGCCAAGCCTCAATACTCCATGTGAACCTAGGTCCAAAATTCCTAATAACAACATGAGCAAATATAAATCCAGACTAAGACACTGAACAAGCAGGGTTCATGCCAGCATGCAGCATTAAGAAATGTGCATCAGGCTGGGTCAGAAGAGAGGGCTTCCAGAAGCTTCGTCTTTCTGAAGCCAATGGTACCGATGTCCAGAGAGGTGAAGCATGTTTCCCTGTCCTCCACACTCTCTGTGCAGCCCAGAGAGGGGCCAGCAAGTGACTGACCCATCTTCTGATCACATTGCCCTCATCCACACATGGCCCTAGAATCCATGCCTTCTCAACCTGGGCTCTGCATGGTGACCCCTCTGTGACATTCTCCCGGGTGTTGCCCATGTCTTGGATTTTCCAGGCCTACAAGAGGAAGACTGAAGCAGCCAAGAAGGAGTATCTGAAAGCTCTGGCAGCCTACAGGGCTAGCCTCGTCTCCAAGGTAACAGGATGCCTAGGTGACTGACGAGGGATGACCCAGAACTGGGGCCCATGGGAACGGCTGGCTCCAGGGGCTTGGAAAGGCTGGGTGAGACCTCTAGGTCACACCTGTAGTGCACCACAGTGCACCCGGCCCACGCCTCATGTGCATTGTGTTCTGCGTAGTTCTTCCAGCCAGAGCCCAGCAGAGGGAGGGGCCCATGCAGGGGCGTAGAGGCTGGGGAGGGCCATAGCCAGAGGATGCTTGCCACAACCCTGGCTTGGCTGCAAGACCCAGGACCATGGAACTCCCCCAGGGGCGGGGGGCCATGCAGGGATAAACGTGTGGGCAGGAGCTGATGGTGCATGCCTGTAATCCCAGGGGCTCCGGAGGCTGAGGCAAGAGGATTGCCAAGTTCAAGGCCAGCCTCAGCAACTTAGCAAGGCCCTAAAAAACAACTTAGTGAGATCTGTCTCTAAATAAAAACTAAAAAGGGCTGGAGATGTACTTGTTGAACTCCACCTGGCTCAATCCCCAGCATCCAAACAAAAGTGGGGGAGGTGGCAGGTGGCCTGGTCAAAGCTGTGGCTGGCTAGTCCACAGCTCACAGCTCTCCCCAAAGGCCAACCAGGACACCCTGGTCTCATAGCCCAAGTCCTGGCTTGTCATCACCTCTTCTCCAAAGTAACTGGTTTTCCTCTCCTTCCAGAGCCCCCCAGACCAAGGCGAGACCAAGAGCACTCAGGCAAACCCCCCCGCCAAGCTGCTGCCCCCCAAGCAGCCCATGTACTCCATGCCGGGCCTGGCCTCCTTCCTCACGCCCTCTGACCTGCAGGCCTTCCGGAGTGGGGCCTCTCCCGCCAGCCTCGCCCGGACACTGGGCTCCAAGTCCCTGCTGCCCGGGCTCAGCGCGTCCTCACCGCCACCGCCTTCCTTCCCGCTCAGCCCCCCCCTGCACCAGCAGCTGCCCCTGCCACCCCATGCACAGGGTGCCCTCCTCAGCCCACCTGTCAGCATGTCCCCGGCCCCCCAGCCTCCCGTCCTGCCCACACCCATGGCGCTCCAGGTGCAGCTAGCCATGAGCCCCTCGCCTCCAGGGCCACAGGTAAGCAGGGCTGAGTATGGCCCCGTCTTCTGTGACCCCTCAGAAGAGGGGAGGTGGTTGCAGAATTCCAGTACTGGCCTCGGTTTTCCCATATCTGAAATGGGTCTCCTGTGCCGTGCCTGCAAGGCGTGGGATGCAGTGAACATTGCCAGTTAGATCCCTCGGCTCTCCCACGGCCCCTCTCACCCTCCGTCCACTTGAGCTTCCTAGCCTGAGGGGGCCACCGCTGCTTCTGCCAGATCAGCCCAGCCCCTGGCTCCCCTGCAAGCCCTCGAGGCCTGAGCCCCACTGAGTGCCCCAGAGTCTGTTCCAAGGCTCACGCTCAGCCCGGTCCCTGCATTGACAGATGGGGAAGCTGAGGCTCAGGACAGGAAAGTCACCCCCTGGTTCAGCTAAGACGGAGGTACTTTTCCAAAGGTGCCCCGCGGGAGCAGAGTGGACCTCCTGTGACCCCCAGGAGGTGCCTCTGCAGAGGGGATGCCCTCAGACACAGGGTGACTGCACCGCCCTGGCCTCCTGAGTCAGGCCTCCCCTGGGCCTCTCTCTGCTCACCATCCCTCCTTCCCCGTAGGACTTCCCGCACATCTCTGAGTTCCCCAGCGGCTCGGGACCCCGCTCACCTGGGCCATCCAACTCCACGAGCAGCGGGGACTGGGACAGCAGCTACCCCAGCGGGGAGTGTGGCGTCGGCACCTGCAGGTCAGTGTCCGGTCAGCCTCCATGGGTCCTGCCTTTGTCCACCCACCCAGGGAAAATGGGAATAGGGACAGCCAGGGGCAGAGGAGTGGCTCAGGAAGACGTGGAGCTGTGTCATCAGCCCTGCCCAGGGGACACTTGGAGCCTGCAGGTAGTACAGAGCAAAGCAGGGGCCCAGCACACTCAGCCAGCCTGACGCCCCGGCCCACTGGGCACACCGAGGCCACCTTTATTCCTTCTGTCCTGTTTTTTCCAAAAATTCTTCCATATGACATTCCCAGGTAGGCCCCATGCCTTAGGCCAGGCTCCCTAGAAGCAGAGCCTAAGGTGGTCCTTGGAGATGCCTGGAGGGCTTATGGGAGAAGTGGGTGAGAAAGGCAAGACGGGGCAGGGGAAGGGGTCGGTGAGGACACACCCTCAGCTGGACACTCCATACTGCCTGATCCCAGGGGAACCCTGAAGCAGGATTGGTGGCACAATGCAGGTCCCACCAAGAGCCCCTGTCAGTCAGCCCTCGGCTTTGGGCTGCCCACAGGCCCCAGGGGGCCCCCTGTGGAAGGCAGGTCTTATTTGCCATGGGCCATTCCCTAGAGAAGGGGACGTCGGGGTGTGCAGGAGCTGGATGYGGTCCCCTGGGAGAAAGGGCCAACTGTCCAACCCATGAAGCCTCCACCTTAGAAACCCCCCAGTCCTGCAGCCGCATCCTCTCCCCAGAACCACGCGGCTCTCTCTGGTCCACCTCGCTAACTGCCCCTCCTCCAGRAAGCCCCCTTGGAGCCAGGCCACACCAACTCTAAGGTGGAGGAACTTGGTTTCAGCCAGCAAGAGGGAAAGCCGGGACAGGACGGGGAGCTTCAGCCCCCACCCTGCCAGCCGGTCCCCGTGCCCTTAGCAAAAGCSAATCCGCAGGTCTTGGGGGGACTGGGCCCAGGCAGATGCCCTGCAGAGCCCCACGCGGTGAAAGGTGGGGCACTGCCGGGCACTAGTGACCCCACACACCCAGGACGGCTTCTGCATGGGTGGCAGACCCGCTGCACAAGGATGCCCTTCCCCTGGACCGCCTCTCATCAGCCCCTTCCCCTCACCGCAGTTCCCTTCCCCGATGTCAGGGTGCCGGGGGCAGGAGGTCCTTCAGGGATGTGACCCTGTCCGAGCCTCCCCCGGGCCCACCCTGTGCCCAGCACRGATGTTGGTCCCTGTTCTAAATCCGTAAAAACCACCTGCCGCCTGTACTTCTGTTTGGAAGCATACAAATGGAACATGGTGGTCACAGGCTGCCATGAGAGCCCTGGGGACGTTGGGATGGGCTTCCTTGAAGGGCAGACGCACGCTGCCCTCTTCCTGGAGCTGAGGATGGCAGCCCCTGGGGAGGATCCAGGAGGGCCCTTTGGTCCAGCTGGGTGGACAGCCAGGAGGACCCTGGCCATCCCCGATTTGACCTCAGAGGGGCAGCTGGTCAGGGCGAGGGGCGAAGGGCCAGAGCCCAGGGCCCTGGGGTTCCCTGGCCCGTGTCACAGCGCCAGGGGGCCATCCAGCAGCTCTGACGGCCCCTCTCTCTCCACAGCCTGCTCCCCAGAGACAAATCGCTCTACCTCACCTAATCCCGCCTCCCTCCCCTCCCCGAGRCTGGCTGGAAGGGCATGTCAGAGCCAGGAGGGCTGCCCACAGCAGAGAGGCCGTGGCAGGAGGCAGGGTGACCGGCCAGCATAGCAGTGACACACCCCTGCCCTGRGCTGAGTCTCTTCCCCGACCTCCCGCCAGACTCTGCAGAGGCAGCCCGCTGCCCGGCGCCCGCCGGAAGAACCTGCAGGAACCTTCTGCCCGCTGACCTGCTTGCTCCAGGGTCACCGCGGACCCCGCTCCTCGCCCTGCACACAGTCCCCTCTGTCTGGACGTCTGACCCCAGCCCAAGCTCACTGGGCCGCCCTGCCGGGGTCACTGACCAASAGAAACTCGCCCCAAGATGCGCGGCCAGGGGCCGGCCCAGCCACAGACGCGCAGGTTTTCCAGTGTGAACTAAAGATCCCGAGCCCCACGAACTGTGGGCTCCGTGTAAGTAGTCTACTAAGTGTTTTAGAACTGTGCTGAAGACATCTGTAAGATTATTTTGTGGGGAAGAAAAGTAGTTTCCTTTAAGGTACAAAGCGTTTTATATGACCCTTAGCGCATCGTTTTTCAGTTTTCTCTTGAGGGAGACGTGCACACAGCAGCTGTCACAGGGTCTCTCCATGCGCACCCGAGAACCGGACAATGTCTAGCCCCACCGGGAAGCATTCCCCTTGATTTTTTTGTAAACCATATGTCCACCTATTTCAAATTGCCAGCAGCAATTTTATTTCTTTTTGTCTAGCTATTTATGAAGAAAACTTGAGAACAAAGTTGCAGTTTATCCTAACGTGTGCGTGGTTTGGGGTTTGGTTTTGGTTTTGGTTCTTGGCGTCGTTTGCAGCTGTATCCTGGCCCGGCAAATGTCTGTCTTGGTGCCCGGTCCTTCTCTCAAACTCTCTTTATAATAAAACTTCTGAAAAGTTGCAGATAAGTCTGTGTCTTCTTGCACTTTGTTAAGCCAGTCTGGGCCTCCTGTGAGGTGGCATTCGGTGGTGGCTTGGCCAGCAGGAATGAGCCCTGTGAGGAGAGACTCTGGTAAAAGTTCTATCTGCTCCTTAGCAGCTCATTGGGCCGGGCGTGAGGACACATGTCTGCAATCCCAGAGACTCAGGAAACTGAGGCAGGAGGATCGCAAGTTCCAGGCCAGCCTCAGCAGCTTGGTGAGACCCTGTCACAAAATTAAAAAGGGCTGGGATGTGGCTCCGTGGTAAAACACCCTGGATCCAATCCCTAGTAACCAAGAAAGAAAAAAAAAAGAAGAGAAGAGAAAGAGAAAAGCAAGCTCTGTATGTGGATGATAGGAGGAAGACACAAAACTTAGCCCAGTTCATGACACATAATAAATGCTCGATAAACATGTGTTGGCTGTGTGGGGGATACCACACCCAAATTGTGGCTACATGGGAAGCTAAACAGGCCTTACCATGTAAAACTTGCCCCTCCAGAAATTGAAAAGTGTCCATCAAATTCCTGCTGCCCCGAAGAGTACCCACATGTAAGTACATCCTTAGGAAACACTCGTACAATCAGATTTTTTAAAATAAGAATTCAGTATGGGGCTGGAGTTGTAGCTCAGGGTTGAGCGCTTTCCTCGAATCTATAAAGCCCTAGGTTTGATTCTTTTCCAACAAAGAAAGGAAAAGAAAAGAAAAAGTCTTCAAATAGAACTGATTGTGTGGTGTGCAAGCCAACATAAGGCCTAGGGAGAAAATTAGTGAGACAATAACAGTGTGGACCCACGGCGTGGGGCTCTGGTGTGCAGTCCACTCTGGGGAGGGCACTCATGAGCAGGTGATGGAGGTGAGTGGTGGGAATGGGGACGGGGGTCTTCAATACTGTCTGCAGGCAGCACCAAGGCCAAGGACCCCTTAAACCAGGTTTCCCAGCAGACATTGGGAGGCGGCAGTCCTTAAAACCAAAAGGAAGAGTGATGTGACTAGGTTAAGTCTACCTGGTTGGGGGGGGTGCAGATTGGGAGGCTGAGGCTGTCACCCCCTGTGACACGGCTCTCAAGGTGGGAGCTGGTGCTCCCTGCTCTGGCTCAGGCCCACAACCTAGACATTGGGCTCTTAGGGCCTCTTCCTGTCCATCACGGTGGCCTCCTCCTTCCAGATGATGCCCCAGAGGGACAGTCTCACCGTGTGCAGTGTCCTCCCTGGAAGGCATATGGTAATCCACTCTGGAAAAGGCAAAAAGCAAACCCCAAACAAACCAAAACAACACGCTGCCTGTCGCATCAGCAGCGGCTCCGCAACATGGAGCGTAAATATTTCATGTGGTTCCAATTTCCTCCCCTGCATGGAGCTTGTCGGAAACACAGCGACGGCTTGGGTGGTTTAATATTCCGCTCTCGCTTTCACCACGGAGAGAACAGCGTTGTGGAGATCCACGCAGACAGCCYGAAATAAGGAATGACAGGTCATTGGTTTCTTCCTGGGAGAGCCCCTCCTGCCATGCCATCACCCACCGCGCCAGCTGCTCAGGGTCATCTGGAAGCAACCACTGCCMAAGCCGCCTCTTGACTGTCCAGGCTGCTCCGAAACCCCCACACAGAGTCTCAGCAGCCGCCCGATGATATCAGGGGGCTCTGGCGTGGGTGTGATGTGTGGCCCCAGAGAAGGGGAACAGAGTCAGTGGGTCAGGTGCAAAAGGCTGAGTGACAGGCCATGGAGTGGACACCAACTGTCCTCTTCCATTGGGTGACCATAACAGAACACCAGAGGCTGGGCAGCTTATAARCAACGGGAGTCTTTCTCACAGCTGTGGAGCTGGGAGATCCAAGATCAAGGTGCTGGCCATTCCTGAGTCCAGAAGGAGCCTCCTTCCTGGTTCACGGATCTCTAGCAGAAGGCCACGGGAGCTCTCTAGGGTCTCTTTAAAGGATCTGAAACCCTATAATCAAGGCTCCACCTTCAAGATCTGAGCATCTTCCAAATCACTTTGGATTTAGGATTCCAACACATGAATTTGGGGGGACATATGTTTGGTCTCCAGACATGGTYATGCCCCACCCAGGTCTCCTGTAGTGGCCAGATCCCATTCCCCACCGTGGGAGTGGTGGCTGCTCTGCTCTCAGACACAGCTGCCACCCTGCCCTGTCATTCCCCTGTTTGGGAGGTTAGGTCCCATCCCCCAGAGCTGCCCACTGCTGGTGACCAACATGGAAAAGCCCCATCTGCGTTCCAGATCTCCCCAGGAGATCAGGCGTGGGCAAATCTCCAGCCCATAGGTCTYGCTCACTCCTGCCTGCCCTGGCCACTCCCCACCCCTCAGAAAGCCCCCACTCAATAAACCACTTGGCCAGAATCCCCCCTCAGGTTCTGCACGTCTCTAGGGAAACRCACCTCAGCTGACAGCTGAGGCCCAACTGCAAATGCAAGACTTTCAGYCGCTGAACACCAACCCCAGCCTCACCCAAGGGCAGTTGGTATCCACATCTTTCTATTTCATCCGGCAGTGACAGCCTCCGCCATGGAGCCAGAGAGGCAGCCCTAGTGTCTTTGCCCTGGACGCACCCGCCCTGTCTCTGTGCCTGAATCTGCCAAGCCTGCACCCCACAGCCTTGCCATGGGCTCGAGAGTCCTGCAGCTGCAGTTCCCTCCATCCACCAGGCCCAGTCTATGGCCTGGACCTTGAGCAGTGGCCTGACATTGTGAAAACCTTCAACTGCTGCCTGCAGCCCCCTCCACTGTCCACAGAGCTGGTCCAGGAACCAGCACCACCCTTCCCCCCTAGGTCCTTCTCCAACTCCTCCACCCACTCCTCCCCCGCAGACATGCGGAAGTCCTAGCAGGGAGCACACCTGGGGTAAAAAGGCACAGATAGATGTTCAGTGGATTTGCAGACAGAGCCCAAGATGCAAAAATTCAACTTGTTCATTCAGCAAGAACATGAAACTGAAGGGCTACTGTCCTCCAGGCCCTGGCTGAGCCCTGGGGAGGCCAGGCGGAGTCRGGCAGAGTCTGCCCCTGGGAGCTGAAGGTCATTGAGGAGGTTGGGAAAGAAAGCAGTAATATTTAATTAATTATAGACTATAACTTTATTTTCTAAACCATAAACATATAAACTTAAAAATACCACGAGACCTTGCCAAAAGGGAGCCAAGAGATGCAGAAGAGGGGCACCCSATCTAGCCGGGGTCTCAAAGGCTTCCTGGGGCAGGTGACACCTGGGCTGTGCCCCATCGGTGGTTAGAGTTGGGTTAATGTTACAGTCGTGGTTGGGGTCAGTGTGGAGGTCAGGGTTGGGGTCAAGATTGGGGTTGACACTTGACCCCAGCACGCCAGGCTTCCCCATTCCCAGGACCCCCAGAGCATTTGGCACTCTGACTGCAGCTCCTGAAGAATGTTGGAGGATTCTCCTGGAAGAATCTGAGAGACAAAGAACCCCCACAGTGGCTGCGTGAGGACCTCTGTAATCTGGAGCTGGACTGGTTGTCGCCAGGTTGAAGGTGAGGTTCATGCATGATGCTTATCCAAACACCACCTCGACATCCCTCTCCCACACCCAGCCTGCCCTGTCCCCTCGCCCAGCACAGATGGAGTGAAATGGCGCATGTGCGGACAGCATGAGAGTGGCGGGGGTTTGTAAAGTGCCCACGAGTGTGGGATGGGGTGCATACATGTGGCATGCCTGTGTTTGTGAGTAGCACGTGTGCATACGTGTGTGGTGGGTACCTCTCCATGTGCATGGTGTTCATGGCTGTGCACGGTGTGTTCAGGGGGTGCAAGGTACATGTCTGTATGTACGTGTGTGTTGGTGCACAGGTGTGGTTGGTGTGCATGTGTGATAACACAGATACCACCCAAGGCATGTACAGATGAATGCACACACCACACAAACACACTCACATCAAACCCACACAAGGGCACATTACACACACTCACACCACACACAAGTACACATGTGTATGTAGCTCACGGTGGCATGTGTTCCACGCATACACCTTGCACTGGCTCACCACACACGTAGCTGCATGCACAGGCGTGCATGCACACTGTGTTCACACCTGCACTACGTGTGTAAACACACATCCCACGTGCACACATGCCCTACACACCCACCCACAGGACACATAAGTGCATCTTGCACAAACATGCCCATCATGTGCACACACACATGCYCACACACGCTCCACACAGCCGTACGTACTGGTGTACAGCACACGTGCACACACGTGTCAACAAGGGGATTCTCAGGCCTTAAGAGTTTGAAAGAACTCATTTGAGAAAAAGCTCTGTCATGCTAGCATAGAGCTGGGATTTTTTTAAAAAATCACTCTACATGCCAGGTATTACTCGACTCTGCTTCTCAAATTGTCCCAAACCGGGAGCCCACCAGAGGCTGGAGGGTGGGTGCAGAGGGAGGGTGCAGTGGGCGGGGCGGGAGGGTGTTGCCCTCACAGGGGGATGGCCGTGGCCATCATGTCTCTTCTTCAGGGAGAGTAGGCACCGGGAGCCAATGAACCTGGGTCCTTAGATGGTTCCCCCACAACCCTCATTACCACCATGTCCTCTCCAAACCGAAGCCCTTTCCGGGTGCGGTGCCCTGGACAGGAGGGGCCAGGCCACGTGGCAGCACCAGTTCCTCCACCTCGTGGAAGTTTGCACCTGGCTCACCCTGGTACTGGTGCTCCTGGTAGGTCCATTTCCAAAGCCCCAGGAAACTCAGAACCAGGGTTCTGCTCCCTAGTGGCTCTGCCACCCCTCAGGCCTCGGAGTCCCCGCTGGGTCCCCAACGGCCAGTCAGCCAGCGGCGAGTGAGCAAAGGATCATGTGGAAGTTCTGGGGAGCAAGGCCTGGAGGTTCACAGGTCCCTGCTTCCCACTTTCTGGTGGCCGTTGAGAGTCTGCAGGGTGAGGAGATAGAATTTCCCAGAGAAAATGCACCTGGGGGAAATGCAAGTGGGTGGCACTCACCAGGGCA